ATGAATATTTACTTTTTGAGTACCTAGTACAGTGTCTGGCACATAAGAAACTGATAAGAGTTAAACAGAGCCCATCCAGCATGCTTGAGACAAGGAAAGCCTTTTAAAAAGGTTAGGAACTGTAATGGTTTGGATAAGTATCCTCCAAAGGCCTAAGTGCTAAAGGTTTGGTGATACTTCTGGGAGGTGGTAAACCTTTAGGAGCTGGGGCCTTGTGGGCCATTATGTCATGACCATGAGGTGAATGGTTTTGCTCCACAACATACTCCCTCCACGATGGTACCTTGCTACAAGCCCAATCATGGACTGAAACCTCCAAAACTGTGAACTAAAATAAATCTTTTCTCTTCATAGTTTATTATTTCAAATATTTTCTTATAGTAACAGAAAGGAGACTAATACAAAAATCTTACCAGCCAGGCTTGATAAGATTATATAATTATATAAGATTATAATACACCTATAATCTCAGAAACCCAGGAGGTGGAAAAAAGGGCTGGGAATGTAGCGCATTGAAAGAGCACCCCTGGGTTCAATCCAGGAAGAAAAAAAAAAAAGAATCATATCTACAGTCTCACGTAAGCTAGTAGTTTTTATTATGTGATATTTTTCAACACCAATGTACATGCAAATCACTTTGGGATTTTGTTAAATACTGATTCTGATTTAGTCAGTCTAGACTGGAGCCTGAGATTTTGTATTTCCACTAACCTTCTCAGTGTTCCTGCTGCTTCTAGATGGACCATACTTTGAGTAATAAAGCAGTATGGTACTGCCAATAATCTGTCAAACCATGCTGAAATTCTACATCATAATTAAAGATGTTTTATACCTCAACTTACTTTCAGCTAGTACCAAGTCTTGGCAAAAACAAAATTCACAATGTAGCTACCCTTCAGATAAAGTCTCAAAGGTAACGTTGACTCTCATTACTTACCCTAGTTTTATTTTGTAAAATAGCTGTGAACAATGAATTAGCTAATACTTATTTTGTTCCGAGGAGAAATATGAGTCAGATTCCTGTGAGCCTCTGATCAAAACTTATTTTTTTGGTAATAGGGACTGAATCGAGGGTCATTTTTTGTTTCTTACTTTGTAACAGAATCTTACTAAACTGCTTAGGGTCTTACTAAGTTGCCCAGGCTGGTCCTGAATTTGCAATCTTCCTGCCTTAGTCTCCCAAATTGCTGGGATTATAGGTGTGTGCCACTGTGCCTGGCTAATCATAACATTTTTATCAACCAATCAATACATAAGCTTGTTTTATGTGTTTCTGTTTAAAGACACTTTATATATATATTATTATAGTTGGTTCAGTAACACCGACTTCATGTCTAACAGTATGTCAATTCTTGCCTGAACAAAGCTTATGTAACATATATTTTCTCTATAAGGCACATCAGAGCCTCTTGTGTTAAGAGATTCCAGATAGCAATTCAGCACTATGTTTGGGGTACCAGCATTGAACCCAGGGGCACTTAATCACTAAGCCATATACCCACAACTTTTTTATTTTGAGACAGAGTCTCATTAAGTTGCTTAGGGCCTCACTAAATTGGTGAGGCTGACCTCATCCTTGCGATCTTCCTGCCTCAGCTTCCCAACCCACTGGGATTACAAGCATGTACCACCATGCCTGGCCTATGATTTTATTATTTATTTATTTTTGTGATGCTGAAGAATCAAAACCAGAGATTCATGCATTTTAGGCAAGCAATCAACACTGAGCAACATTCCCAGCCCCAGGGGCCATTTGAAAAGCAAGATCACCAACAAAAAGCACAAAAAAATGCAAAAAGTGTGGCAGTAAATATGCCATGAAAATGACTCTGTTTATGGTGTGAAAGCTGAAACAAGAAGGCAGAGCATCTTCTTGTTTGACCTTGTCTACAAGCTATGCGTCAGGCAACTAGGATTTTGCACTACTCTGCTCAATACAGGCCAATGACCATGAAAGTGCTGCAAGTACTAATTTTGGGGTTACTAATAAATTTTAGTGAATAGGCAAATTTTCAGATATGGGATCCATGAATAATAGGAATCAGTTATACCTCCTTGCAATATTAAGGGATGCCCATAGATCAATTTGCACGACTCAATGTCCATGTCCATGTTTTCCTTCCTCATACTCTGTCTTGATCATCAGGGCTGCTATTAGCCTATTGTGTGCTCTTGTACAAATCAGAAAAAGGTGACTTCCTCTCTGTGGATGCAGACCCATGCCACAGTGTACAGCCTGGCAAGTGGTACATGGGCTGCATCTTTTATCTGGTTCACATCCTTTCATGCCTTTCCTTTGCTTTTCAGCTCAAGTTTGAGTATTTTGAGTCCCTCTTCACGTGGGGGAGGTAGATCAGAGAAGGAGATCCAGAAGAAGATCAAAGTTAGAATGATAAATAGTGGTGTGCTGAAATGAAGAGCACAGGAGGAAGTAGGAAGGGGCAATAAGCAGCTTGGCCATCTGCTTAGTGTGGCAGCTCTCACCTGAAGCTGATAGGCCAGGTCAGCTTGTGCTCGGCGAGTATTGACCTCAATGTCATATGCAGCCTTCTTCAGTTCATAGTCCCTCTGTGCCTTGGCCATCTCGATCTCACTCAGGTACTGAGCAGAAACCTTTTCTTGCTTGGCTTTAGCCTCCTGTCCAAACACAGATCAGGTAGGAAAAGTCAGGGCAGAATGAGGAAGGCCATGGATGAGAGCCTACCCCTCACCAGGCTTCACTGCCTTTACCCCAGGCCTCATTTTTCCCCCTGCTAACTCACTTCTTACAATTCTCAAACAGGGCCATGCATGCTAGGCAAGTCCTCTGCCACTGGTTACAACCCCCAACTTTTTTTTTTTTTGATCCTCTTGCCTCAGTCTCCCAGCATAGGTGGGGTTACCAGCATGAATACACAGCCACACCTAGCTTCCTGCCAACCCAGTACTATAGTCTCATTAGCTCTGCCCTTTCTACCCATTTTTCACTGTGTGTCCTATAAGCCTATGGCGACAGAGCAACTCCCATCTCTCTCACCCGGATCCCAGCATCTCTCTTGGCTTCTGCTTCCCCAATTCGGGCATCTTTTTGGACTTGTGCTGTTCGAGCCTTCCCCAAAGAGTGCAAATAGTCCTATGGGAGAGGTGCAGAAACCAGAGTTGTCATGAGGTTTTGAGATGGAAGCAAGGAAGTAGGAAAGAAATAGCTGCCTAGTTTCACCTGGTCATCGTGAATGTCCTTCAGAGTGTAGCTAACAACGCTGATGCCCATGTTGACCAGGTCCGAGGAAGCTACTTTGAAAACTTGCTCTGAGAATTTCTGTCTATCCTTATAGATCTCCTAAGACAAAAGAATGGTAGGAATTTAAGCTCTCAGATCCACCATGTCTCACAGATTAGCTGAGTCCTTAGGCTCCATTCAGTATGGCATCTCTACTGGATGCTTCCTTGTCCCCAAGCCCACCTCCACAGTCATGTGGGCCATTATAGCCCTCTGGTGACCCTCCAGCGTCTCCAGGGCAATGTGAGCAATCTCAGCCTCTGTCTTCCCCAGGAACATCTGGCAGGCAGCCGCCAACATTTCCTTGTTCTGCCCCTGTATTTTCACCTGCAGCCAGAGTAGGGATGGGGGGGATGTCATTAGGTATCATGAAGCCAAGGAAGAAGCAGGGAGGGAAGGGAAAGCCTCTAAGAGCAGTTTCTGAATCTATCTCAGGGAGAAAGAGGAGGAGGAGCCAAGTGCCTTGGGTGGCTGTGGTAGGACAACAGCAGACATTTTTTTTTTTTTTTGAGGCAAATATTGAGAAGGCCATGGTCAGAAAATTCTTAATGTGTGGGACAGAGAGACTGGGAAGTGGACTTTGGTGGGGAAAGGCTTTGAAAGCCTCACCTGGGCAATGCCCGTGACTGAGATGGGGACCCCATGGCGAGTATAAACCTTTTCACTCTTGACATTGAGGGTCAGTGTGTTGAGAGAAATCCTACGGGAAAAAGAAGGGGTTGAGAGTAAGAAAAAGAGTAGAGTGAAAACTGAGGTTCCCCTTCCTTGGTTCTCTTCCTACTTACCTCTGAATTTGCTGAATGCAAGGCAGTACAAAGACTCTTCCTCCAGCCACCATGACTGGGGGGCTTCGGCAGAAACCTGCAAAATGAAGGCATTATGCAGCCACAATACAGCTAGGATGTGTTACAATAAAGAACTTGAGGGTAGGAACAACCCACAGGAGAGGATATGGGAGCTTTTGGGGAAGGCAGACTGGGCCTTGGAGTTGGGAGTTCCTAACTCAAGCAGGTAGCTTGAGGTCATGAGGGGGCAGAAGCTTGGGGTCTGGGGTCGGGAGCTGGTAGGGGGAGGAAGGGGCAGACACCGGACTTATAGGGGTTCGGGGTTCACTTGTGGGAAAGAGAATACTTACCCGAGACCACCATGGCCTCATTTGGGCCACAAGTGAAAAACATGGTTCAAACCGGAGCTGGAGGAGAGGAAGAAGCTTTTGCAGATGGGAAAGGAGCGCTGTGGCGGCCAAGGGAGGGAACCCTTTCCCTTCCGACAGACCCACCCAGTCTGCACCCGCTACCGCTCAATTCCTTCGGTGCTCAGAGGTCCGCTAAGTCTCTTCTCTGTGAAATTCCTAAGATTCCCAAGGACCCTTTCCTACGCGTGCACGCTCTTTCCCCTTTATCAGATGAAGCCCTCCGCGCCTGAGGGCCCCAAACCTTTCCCCACCAGGCACATCCTCCGCAGCCCCAGGCTTCATCTCCCCTCCCCCACTCACCTTCCCGGAAGCGGGAGGCGGCGGGGCTGGGGTCTCGGGAAGGGCAGGGGCGTGCAGAGCTAGGGGACCAGCACGAACGCGGCGGTCCCACCTTCCTGGAAGCTGGGCCCACACGCGCGCCCCCAAACCGGCCGCGCCCTGTTGCTGCGGCAGACGCGACCCCGCCCCCGCCGCGGACCAACCCCTCGGCCCCGCGCGATCGTTCCGCCCCTTTCCCGGCAGGCCCCGCTTGGGTCTGCAGCCCGCCCGCTGCCCGGTCATCTGCCAGAGCCCCGGGCCCCGCCTAGGCCCTCCACGCTCCGCCCCGCGGCGCGAGCCGCAGGCTTTCCTGAATAAGAAAGGTTGCCACATCTCGGGTTTGCCGCGGACTAACTGGTAAAACCGCAGTATGAGCCACATACGACTGCATTCAGAGGCCGGATCTGTCCCGTGACTCCGGGGGTGGGGAGGAATGGGTTTCGTGGCCCGGGGAGAGGTACAGACTGGCGATGTGGCCACAGTTCCTCCCGCCCGTCATTGGGGCGTGAAGATGGGTAATGGGGACTCGCCGCGGACAAAGATACACTCAGAGGACTGCTTTCAGTAAATCAAGTTTATTTTGTTCACAGAACATACTGGGCGACCTCCGGCTGCCGCCTCCTGACAGCCCATAGACGTCCAACCCCGCTGTCCCTAAGGGGAAACTTCAAGATTGAAGGCCATGGACTTTATTCCCAACGGTCTGCCTAAATCTCAGACAATAGACCGGTAGAGTTGAGGTGCTGGAGAACGGAGTATCACCCTCTAAACCTACGACCCACCACCATGCCCGATTCCCAGTTCGGGCGCCATCCCACCAGTCCCTTCCACTACCTTTTCCCACTCTGCCTCAGTTCTAGGAGCCCTCCCTCCACCAATCTCACAAGGCTCAATAAATACCAAAAGATCTGCATTTACAGCAGGGGAAGCATATCTTGCACCCTTGCATAAGTTAAAATAAATATTACATATACCCCTCCATCACCTAGGAGGACATACATAAATACATATAAATATTAATTAGGCGTAGTGACAAATAAATTAACGCCGCTCTCCTTCCCCTCTGGGCTTAGCCTGGACCTGTCTGTCTCGGTCTCGCCCCAAGCACCGGTCGGCCTGGTCTTGGCTGTAGTGTTCTGAGTTCTAGTTGTCTTGAAAGTCCCAGTTTGGGATACACTCTCGGGCACCAGATACGCCTGGTGTTTCTTGGGTTTTTCAGGTTCTTTTGTTAGAAGGCAGCTGGGTGTTGCTGGAGAAAGGTGCTTACGTCCAGATAGTAGTCCGAGGGGTCCGAAGTTAGATTCAGGTGCTCGAGGACTGGGGGAGCCGGGATGGGCACAGGGGACGCGGAGCTGGGGACGTCCTCCTGCGTCAGGGGTGCCGACACACCCTCTTCAGCCATTAGGATCTGGCAGAAGATGATGGCGAGAAGAATAAAGAGGAACCTTTTGGCAAGGTTAGGTTCCTCGGCTGGCAATTGACGCCGGACCTTAGGAGAGACAAAAAAATGGACAGATTAGGTCAAGGTCTTGGAGTCCAGTCGTTCCCCAGGGAACCTGGGCGGCGTGTCCCCCGGCCTCCCCACTTTCGAGACACTCACCACTCGAGGATAAAGGACCCTGCGGCTGCGCTTACGGTGCCCGCGAGAGGCGCCAAGGCGTGTGGCCGAGGCTACCGTCCTCTCTGGGAGAGGATCGAAGGTGAAGATCTCAGGGCCGGAGCCCCGCCGGAGTTCCGGGCCGGTGGAGGGGGCGGGGGACGACGGGGCCCTCAGGCCGGTCGTGGTGGGGAGCGAGCTTCGAGAGTGACACATCTGTGCTGAGGAGAGTTTAGCTAAGAGCTGACCTACCGCCAGGCAGAGCTGTTTAAGTACACCAGAGAATTGGGCGGGTTCTTGTAACTCCTCCTCTCGCAGCAGGGGAGCATTTGGCTGGAGCCCGGCTGGAAATTCCAACAGTTAAGCAAAGGGAGTGGGTGGAGACTTGGACTGTGCATCTCTAGGTGCCCGAGTGCACGCTGTGCGTGCGAGTCGTGAATGCTGGTGGGTAAAATCCCAGGGGGCAGACACATGTCGAGGCATTATGGCAGCTGGAGCATGGCCCACTACGGTTTAGAAGATGATTCAGCCACCACCGTGGGGAGGCTGGGGGTCTTAGAAAAGGAGATATGGCCATTATGCAACAATACTGACCCTTCAAGGTCAAGGAACCGCAGTTAGAACACACATTCACACACAAGGGCACGTGGATAGCACACACTCCTGGCTCCCTAGGACATAACGGTACATGCCTGTATAATCCCTGTGTGGAGGACCACAAGTTCCACGCTTGCTTGGGCAACTTAGTAGAGCCCTAAGCAACTTAGCAAGACCCTGCCTCTAAATAAGTATGTAAATAAATAAATAAGGGTTTGGGGTTGTAGCTGTGTTAAAGTGCTCCTGGTGTCAACCCCCAGTACCAAAAAGACAATTTTTAAAAAATAAGAAAACACATACAAACAGAAGAAAGCACAAACAGACATAGCCTGCCTATTTTAGCACACATGAAAACACACAAGTACATTACACATTCCCATGCTATATGCACATGACACAACACAAAGTAAAGACTGCACAGAGACAACAAAATTACTCTTAGGTGTGTACAGAAACATTCACACATAGGCTGGTGCAGAGAACCACAAAATACAAAGGCAAGAGGTTAGCAACCGCCCACATTTTCCCCCAGTAGTATGGGTCGAATAACAAAATTTATGTGAAGAACTTCTTGAATTGTGAGACATTATTCAAATGTTGTAGAAGTGATAATTAGTCAACACACTATGGACACATTTCCATACTGCCTTAGAGACCACTCGTGAACATGGAATTTAACATTTTTTGAGTATTCGCCTGTGGCAGGAGCTCTGTTAAAACTATCACTAAAGCGGAGTGTAGTGGCACATACCTGTAGTCCTTGCTATTCAGGAGGCTGAGGCAGGAGGAAGGACCACTTGGCCCCTGGAGTTTGGGGCCAGCCTGAGTAACACAGTCAAGACCCCCATATCAAAAACAAAACAAAAAAGAAAAAGTACTGTTGAGAATTCTGAAGTCAGTTTCAATGTCTGTGCTGCTAAATGAAGCAAATCCAATAAAGCTGCCAGTTTGGCCCCAAGGGCCTTACCCTCTGGCATGGGGGAGAGGACCAGGACCACTAGAACTCTCCTGAGGGTCCTAAGAAAACTAATTGTTGAAGGGAACCCCAAAGAACGAGTATTCATATTTGAGTGATCAATCAGGGGAGACTTCATGGAAGAGTGCCATTTGAGATGACTTTAGACAGTGTGTGGGATATGACAAATTCAGATGTAAAGGATGACTATGAAAAAGAGAATGGAATCAGAAAGACCTTGAGCTGGAAAAGTACAGGATGTGTTTGGGGAATCACAATAAAAACAATCTCAGAGTAAGTTTCCTGTAAAGGAGTAGTGGGAAATAAAAACGTCTGGAAAGAAGTTTGGCAGGGTGGGGAAATCTTAGCTGGCAGGCCAGGGGCCTGGGTTTGACTTTCCACCATGAAGCTCGTGGTTCAAACTGGAAACTGACTGTGATGATCAATATTACCTAGAAGATGAGAGACTGGGGCAGGCAACAGGAGGCTACTGCAAGGGCTCAGATCAAGGGTAACATGGGCCTGAAAATGTGATTATAAGAGATATTCCTAGAATGAGATTACCAGAATTTGGTAATGACACGGTTATCTTTAGAGGAAGGGAACCTAAGGGGATTGATGACAGCAAGAGGATGAAAAGACCAGAGCTGACTCTTGGACTTGAAATGCATCTAACTGGTTCAGATCTTTACACCATCCTATTCAGCATGGTGAAGAAGGTGATACACATATGACCTCTTGCATTAGAATCGGCTACACATGTCTTTGTGTCTTCCATAGACCCAGCATGATGCAGAGCTATAAATGTGCACATAGCGTTCACATACTAGATCCCTCCAGGATTTTTTTTTTTTTTTTTTATTCTACCACTGAGCTACAATCCCAGTCCTTTTTATTTTTGAGACAGGGCTTCACTAAATCGCTAAGGCTGACCTCAAGCTTGTGGCCCTTCTGCCTCAGCCTCCCCTGTTGCTGGGATTATAGGCCTGCCCCACCACTCCCAGCCCTTCTTCTTTTTTTTTTTTTTTTTAAGAGAGAGAATTTTATTTTTATGTTTAGTTTTTGGCGGACACAACATCTTTGTTTGTATGTGGTGCTGAAGATCGAACCTAGGCCGCAGGCGTGCCAGGTGAGCGCGCTACCGCTTGAGCCACATCCCCAGCCCCTCCCAGCCCCTCTTAGCTTTTGTAACATGGATACACTCCTCCAAATCCCCCAAACAAATGTACAGGGTCTTAAGAAAAGCTGGGATAACTCTTGACACATACGTCAAGCAGGAAATACCAAAGGGCATTTTTCACCAAAGACATATGTAGGAAGGCAAATAAGTCCCTAAATAGATATACTGTTACTGTATATTCAATTGCCTCCTGACACTATATGTGCTGCATTTTACACCTCCTCTTCTTGTCTAAACAATAAAAGTCCCCTTCCGTATGACATACCTCTTCCTGGCAGGCATAAAACATACCTCCTCTGCAAGGATATCTTTTTCCCACATCTGCCTTTCACAGCTGCCACCACCCTTACATTTATACCTGAGCACAGTGCACCTGCACACCTGTCTGGATCCTTGTTCCAAGGTAACACACACAACCTGGTGACTAACATACATGACACGGGGGGGGGGGAGTAGACAGACCCTCATGCACAGATGTAAGTTAGGGTGGAGGGGGGAAAGAGTGATGATGGAAGAAAACTTTGGTGGGGGACAGGGGGAGGCACCCAGAGTCAGGAATGCATAACTTGTTTATGATGGAAAATTTCTGCAGGGTATTAGGCAGGGAGGGGAAATGAAAGGGATGTCAGGATCTTGTTTCACCACCACCTCCTACATCTGGAATCTGGACTTCCAGTAGGGCCTAGTTATTCTCACTGTCCTCTTGCCACAGAGAGACTTCTTTTTTGTGGCAGAACCAGAGTGATACAAAGAGAAGACCCAGAGAACCCAGACTGTTCATCATTTTTTCTCACCTGATCTCATTCCCATTCTGGCTACCCAGGGCTCTGCTCCTGCTCCTCCCTGACACCCAGGAAATTAGGGAAAGGTTGACAATGAATCACTAAGCTAAAGAGGGAGTGTGGGGGTGAGAGTGGGGAGATGAGATAAATTCAGGAAGTGCTAGTTGCTAAGACCATGTGCTGGATCTGTTCCCAATGTCCATATCCTAGAGAAACAGGCCTTTAGTCTCTGGCATTTTTAACTCTCCTCCTGTCTCTTTCCATATTCCAAAGATCATCTTGTTTCTTCATTTCCTTCCTTTGATTGGTGTCTTGACCCCCCCACCCTCCCAAATTCGCAGCCTGTTGTTTGTTTTCTTCATAGCAATTGAGGAATCATGTTTGTATTTGTTTACTTTTGGGGGGAGAATACTGGGAACTGAACCCAAGGGCACATGCATGCTAAGTAAGTGCTCTATCAGTGAGCTACATCTCTGGCCTGTCTTTGTTTACTTTTTGCTGTTATCCCCCCCACCACCACCATAAACACACTCGAATATAATTTCCAGAGTCTCTAGAGCCCCATCTGCCCTTTTTCAATAGATCTTTGTTGTAGCATCAGCATATGACCTGGCTGATCTGCCATTGAATCAGGAACAACTGCTGGTGATGAAGCCCTAGGAGTGCATTGCTGACCTTAGGTCCAGAATGGAACCCAGCAAGGTGCTGAGAAAGGGTGGAAGCAGACTGGACAGTGAAAGGGAGACAGATATTTGAAAGTGGGAGCTTCTGAGAAAGGGAAGCAGGAATGGAACCCAGGAGTTGGAGACAGGAAATGACAATTTGAAAACTCCTAGCTATATCTAGATAATAACTACTTGTTAACTTGAGATAGGTTTGAGGTTGAATGGAAACAAAGGGTAACAAAAAGAACATTATAATCTAGTGAAGTTGGAGGGAATCCAGCTGTTACTTATTAACTATTTGATATTGAACCAGTTGCTTCTGTAAAAGCCTGTTTCCTCAATTAACACCTGGGCAAATTGACCTTTAGGTGATTGCAAAGATTAAGAACATAAGTGTTCTGATCCCAGGCAGTAGTAGGGACTTTCCTTGTGGTATCCTTCAGTGTAAAGGGGCTGCTTCAGAGCAGGGACAAGCACAGTGGGCTAGCCCTGGAACAAGAGACCAGGATGAGAAAACAGCCTCCCAGTGCTAAGATCACCAGGAGAGGCCATTTATCTTTTCATCTCCCCTTCCCTCCCTTTTCATCTCAGGCAGGTTTTGTGGTTCTTTGTTTATTCCAGAGGAGCAGAGACTTCTGCATTCATAGTTCTTGTTCATCCAATGCAGATGATTTTAGACACCCTTCCCCTGTCACCCTCTTTGTATGCAGTTTAGCTAGAACAATCTTGGCCAGAGGCACGGAGGTAGGGTGGGGTGGTGAGTTTTAGGCAGCAAGTTAATAAATGACCCCTAAAGACATTTGTTTAGCTCCCAGGAGCTAAAGACCAGGTCAAGACCAGGCCCTGGCAGCTTCCCCTGACGCAAAGGCAAGTCAAGAGTGCCTGAAGCATCAAGGCAAGGTCATAGAAGTAACACTGCCACCTGCACTGGGATGTAGCTCAGCCGGGTACAGCCCAATGCAGCCTAGCTGCACAGGGAGGCCATAGAGAACAGGGAGCTGGGGAAAGGACACAGCACCCCTGCTCTCCTGCCAGCACCAGCTTCATACACTAGCTTCTAGGACTTAAGGTTGTGGCTCCTTCCTCT